GTCGCATGCGAGCGGCATGCTGCTGGACGAGCTGGATAATTACCACCCCACGCCACGAAGGAGTAGTCATGTCGACACCATCATGTCTTGTAAAAGCCAGATCCGAAGAAGGCCTTCATTGTGGATTTGGTACAGTCCAAGCGCTAATCATCTAGCGAGTTGTAGTCAATGGTGACTGTGTATAAGTATTTGCCCGCTCAGTACCCAAGTATTGACTTAGTCGGAGAACCTAGGTACTAGCCGAATTTCTTACAAGTCCATGCGATACGGTGATAAGCCACTCCGTACTTTATGATGATACGGAGGCGCAATGCTGGTCTAGGAGATTAAAATGATTCCGAAGCCTCTAACGATCTTCAGTGACGTCCCGCCCGTCTAAAGAAAGAATCGGACATTTACCATTGGCCTGGGCACCCATGACTGCGTACGCGTTTCATGGCGACTAGGTCGAAGGGCGAGACAACAGCCGCGGCTACATTCGACACCGATCCTCGGGCTTTATTCTAATAGCCGTGGAACAGTGAGTGATTGTGCCTTGTAAAAGACTCCTTGCACCTGCATAATCCTATGTGGCCAAGACATTATCGAGATCTACATATTGAAGCTTTTCGATACGCCAAGAACTATCTGGTTTGGCGCCATTGATTTTCACAATGATTGGAAATGCGATCTGACACCCTTAGAATGCAATTTCGGGATACATCGAACTCGGTTGGACCTGAAGGAGAGCTCAATTACAGTAATAGCTAGCCAGAAAATCATCATCTCGGTACAGCCTAAACTTGTTGTTGCGTGCACCTGCTGACTCGATCCTATGCTTTTCTCCTGCTCCCGTAAATTCATTCCTTTTGGTTCGCCACCCTGCCTATCTGATCCTCATTAGAAACTGGACAGTCTAAAGCCTGTGTAGCTGAGTATACCCTTACGAGACATGACGTCCCGTGTCCAACATTTCCACCCAGGCTTCCTGCCTCTTCTGCTCAGCAGTCGGCGTCAGCCAAGTATATTTTTGATAGATGTAATCGCTATGCGTAATGTCTCGGATCTGCCTCATAATGTTGTCAAGGGCTGGTACCCGCTTGTAGTCACTGTAATCTTTCCCATCAGCTTTGTGGTCGTATCTGGGAGCCCAAACCGCACGAGATCTGGTCTCGCTGAGTATGGCTCTTATTAGGGAGTTGGTGGCTCTCTCGACGCGGAGAGCGCGGCACGTGAAGCAACATGAAGGGCGGGACGCGCCCTCGGGCGTGGTAAGCGGGAACTTGTCCAATTCTGCCATGCTCCTGGGCAGAGGCAAGCCCATCATGCCCACATCCACGCAGCTTTGAGCGCACTGTGAGTAAGGGCCGATGAGGCCTGAGCAGTAGGGACACTTTGGTTGACCGAGGTTGTAGAGATTTGCAATCTGTTTGATGCATGCTTCGCACAGAATGTGACCGCAAACGAGAACCATGGCGCGGTTCGAGTTCTGGCCGGGCGCGGTGGTCATTGATGTTGAGCATTTGGGGCAGGGAGCAGCGAACTGCTGGAGGGCCGTGTCGGAGGTCATCCAAGACTTGATTTCTGGCCAGAAAACTTTGCGGATCTCTTCGCGCTTGTCCGTCATGGCGGCTGCATCCGAGGGTACGAGACGATCGACCGGCCCTTGTCCGACCGGCATGTACGGCGGGACGGGCTGTTCGGGCGGGTATCCGGACGGTGGCTGTGATTGCTGGAGACTCTGGGGCGGAATCTGGTGCGGAGCGCCGATGAGAGGTCGGCCGGCCTGGGCCAACGGGACCGAGTCCCATCGTTTGCCGGTGAATGCATCGTTGCCTTCGCCGATATCAAGAGATTCGTCGACCGAACCGACGGCAGAGGGGGCCCCTTGGCTCCCTCCGCTACTGGCCCCGCCGAGGCCTCCGCCAGACCCTCCGCCGAAATGCATGTTGCGAAGCTTCTGCAAGGTTTCTCTGTCCATTTTGTCAGACTGGTTAGATGGTTGAGCTAGACTCCTTCTCAAGTCAAGTGCCGAATCGAGGAGGGACTGAGACTGTCTCGATCAAGTCCTCGAGAAAATGTCGTAAGCCGGCATACTCGAGTCTTCTTATATATGAACTGTTGCCTTTTGTCCTGTGAAGCTATGGGTGCTCCCTAGTTGGTGTCGTTCGTTAGCTGCTTTGTGTCGCTTAGGCGTCTTCCTCTGACGAAACAACTTCCAGTGGCTTTTGGCAGAAGCGCGAAAGAAAACGCCGGATCAGGCGGTGTCTCTTTGAGTAAAATCTCCCTTGTAAGGTACCAACTTCCTATGTCCAAGGTAGTCTCCGTTTTGTTGCTGTTGTGCTGCATCAGGGGGAGGGGGACTGGTTGCACCCATCACAATCCAGATAGTTCGCTGTGATGCCCTGCGCTGTATTTCCGAGCTGCATAAGTCCTCTTTGTTGTCTTCGAAACTCATGCTTCAAAGAAACAATTTTGGTCTTACAGAATGTTGCGGAACCATTGACTGAATCATATCTACCTGGGTAGGAGCATTATCCCCGATTTGAAAAACTTCCATCGCCCTTGCAACGTCAGTGCAGATATTGCGCGAAAGCTTGACTGTGGGCTTCTTGATCCATTGTGATGCTATATTTTTGGGGCATTTCCCCATTGTGCCCACGGTTGAGGCGAGTTATTGTTAGGGTGGACTTCCGAGTTCGGGGTCTGGGCAGTTGGCCCTGGCCACTCTCTTTGTCTCGCGGGATCCCTCTCCCGGCTTCTTGAGCACCATGGCGAAGATTCAAACATTCAATGCAGGTTTGCTGAGAGGTTCATTCTCATCATATAGTCTCCAGACCGGCCGAGACTGAACCTCCGAGTTATCCAGCCCAGCTTTCTTCCGCGCAAGCTTCGCCATGGCTTGGGAGGTGGCACAAGCCTGGAATACTTGATTTAGCTTTCTTAAACTTGGGCCAAGCAGCAGTAGTTCCACCCCTGTGGAACCCGCCGAGCCGCCGGTGTAGTGGACAGAGAACGGGAATTATGTTATGAAAATTCAAATGCAGCAAACTTGCCGTCATCGAAGAATCCATTCACCTCAGCCCTACAGAACAGAGTCGTGGGCAAATTGTTGACGTCAATTTTGTATTCAGATGGCCCGGACGCAACGGCAAAATGCTAAGGAATGTTTCTCTTGGCCTATGTACCTAGTTACTCGACATTACAACGCGTCACTGTAGAAGAGGTCTTGGGGAGATGAGTCCCCCTTAAGTAATGCGTGAGCCACTGCGTTGCGCCTATGGATTACCCTGCAACTTTCTTACTTCATCGATACCCCAAACTTGCCCATGAGCAATCAAAACAGCCCAAGTTCAACACCCCTGATAACATTACTCTACCGCAAGTCCCTTGAGTGAGACACATTCAAGATGTCAAAGAAGTACCCTGCCCCCGATGCGCCAGTAGTCCGGATAATTGTGTTGGAGACGGACAACCCTCACCCTGACACCCATGCAGCAAAGGGTAGCTTTGGAGAAATTCTGCACACTCACTTCCAGCATGCTGGCGCTGAACACGACCCTCCGCTGGGAGTCGATACGGACCAGAAGTTCGTCGTGGAGGAAAAAGGAGGCACAATTCCGTCATTTGAGGATTTTGACAGCTATCAAGGTGTCTTGATCACCGGAAGCATGTATGATGCACACGGAGACAATCCCTGGATTATCAAACTCCTCGGAGTCTTGCAAGGTTCGTCACCACTCAAGCCACTGCGGTTTACACACGTCTGCAACCAGCGGTACTGACTCCGAACAACAGAACTCTGGGAGCGCCGGCCGGATCTCCACTTGAGCGGCGTGTGCTTCGGCCACCAGCTTCTCAACCGGATGCTCGGCGCCGAAGTCGCACCAGCACCTTCGAAAGACTGGGAGTTGGGCCACTGCCGAATCGACCTTTCGGCAGTGGGCAAGCAACTATTTAAGACGGAAGACGATCATGTGCACCTTCACCAAATGCACCAAGACCAAGTCGTCGCGCCACCTACCACCGAGAGCTCCAAGGGTCTATTGAAGCCTAGTGACAAGGTGGATGTGTGGGGCCACAGCGAGCACACCAAAGTACAGGGCGTCTACATCAAGGGCCGGCTCTTCACGTCGCAGGCGCATTTGGCATTTGATGAGGATATGGTCAAAAGGCAGATCCAGATGAGGATTGACAGCGGCGGTATTCAGGATATGGAACATGCGGACCAGGCGGCGGAGACTGCGCATTGGGAACATGATGGTGACTTGGTCGCAGCGGCTATTCTGAGATTCTTCCACGGAGACGATGATGAGATAGAGTGATAGTTGGTTGGACGCGGTGCTGTGGTAACAGCTGTCCTGTCGTGTAGGAACTTGGTCAACTCCGAAGCTCACTCGGCTGTCATGTTTGAGAAAAGACCCAATCCACACTACTATGCGTGTAGCTATATTTTGAAGACGGGTAAAGATACCCGATGTTGTTTCATTACCTCTCAGCCGTGATTCGTTATGGAGGAAAACAACGGGCTGCTTTGTCGTCTCTCCTCTTTCTTGGTATCAAACCGCATGACATCTTGGCGTGGTGGACTAGAGAGATGTACCCTCGCTGACCTTCCCTTTGCGTCTACCAGAAGGCGATCCCACCGGTATTCTTCAGACTTATGTGGCGATGATGCTCGTGAGAACGAATCATCCACGTACTTAGTCCTATAGGCACATCGTGCAGCGTTCCATTCATGCTACCTTGAACTCCATTCTCTGCTACCACTGCTGTTGGTCAGCGGCTGCATCCATCGCGTATCACTGCATCGGTCAGCTTCAAGCGTGGGATTTGTATGATGATTGCAGGGCTCTAAATATAGCTCACTATTGAATGGCTGCAGAACGAAGACTCCGCGCAAGGGGCTTTTATAAATCACATAAGAAGCACGATTTCCCATATCGATTTCGAACGATAAGTCTAACATTCAAATGTCGTCTTTCACAACATATTTTCCGCTAATCTCATTGCCTCACAGTATGTCTTCAGCGTCTGCTATTTCAGGAGTCAGGACGCATCTTGTCTACAGGAAGCCGCCGCCAACACCAGAGTTCCTCAACACGCCAACCAATCTTTATTCCGATGCAGAGAATTACAGAGATAGGCGCGAAGTTTTCGTTCGCAACATTCGCTCTGAGATGGACCAGTTCACTACCGCGACTGATGGACTTGAGTTCATGAAGCATGAGGTTGATATCAAAGACTGGTCTGACGAGGATGAGGTGCGCGAGGTAATAATTCGAGACACCCAAGAGCTCCTGAAGAAACAGTAATACAACTTTTATTTTTTTCTTATTAACTGAATTTTCGTGATTGGTACAATGACTGACGAAGTTTGCGAACAGTTTCAACGCCAATAGAATATTCACCACTGTCTCAAGAATTCGACACTCCGATACAAGCGGAGTTAGAAAAGACACCACGCCAGTCTACTCTATTCACGGTGACTTGACTGTTCAAAGCGGTCTAGAACTCCTGGAAAATACCATGCCCAATATGGATCCTCCGCCGAAATCAGGGCCTCCCAAGGGTCGAGTTCTTCTAGTCAACGTATGGAGGCCTCTGAAGACAATCAAACGCGACCCAATTGCCTTTCTAGTCCCCAAAAGCATTCGATCTCAGGAACGACATGCACAGATCTTCTCACGACCTGAGGGAAAATTCAAGGTTTTTGGCAAAGACGCTCAAGACTTCTGGCTGGATACGGCTTCTTACAGCGAGAAGCATGATTGGGTGTTTCTAGATCATCAGCAACCAGATGAGCCTGTCTTATTTCTTCAATGGGATAGTGCCTCATTGGAAAGTTTCGAGTCGAGAATGGCTGTGTTTCATAGTTCTTTTGAGGATTCCAGGTTTGTGAATGACACGGAGAGAGCGAGCATTGAGCTCAAATGTCTTGTATTCTTGGACGAGTAAGTAAGTGTAGGTCATGGAGGCGGAAGATTCCGCATCGCGCATCATTTTGGTCTAGCTAAGTCGATAAATGAAGATTGATTAAATCTGGTTGCCAGCTAGCTTTCCTACTCATATGTGATACCTGCTACTCCTAACGAAGTTGCTCTGATATATTGATAGGTACCACTTAGCATGCAACAAGAAGAACAAGAGCGAAAAAATTGGATGCATCATTACATTGGTTGTTTATGCATTATTACCACAACACTCAGCCATGGTGCCAATGCTCATTACAGTTTACTTGAGCTTGTCTTCGCCTTACTAGGATCTGACCACAGTCTTCCCTGCGTCTCGCCCCTGTCTAAGGCATCAAGCCCCGCAGGAATCTCCGCAAAAGGAATCTCTGTCAACTCTGGCTCAATCGACTTGTTTGCCAACAGCTCGAAGACATCTCTCAAGTCCTGTTCACTCGCTCCAAATGAACCAATGAGAGTTACGCTTCGACCAATCAAAGCGTAGCTAGGAATCGTGATCTCGGAACCTGCTAGCCCAACGACCACGACTTTGCCTCCTTCGCTCACCCTTTCAATGGCCTGCTTCGTTGTTGCCCCTGTGCCGGCAAAATCAACGATGGCATCGAACTCCACATCTTGAGCATCTTCGAGGCTCTTAAAACATCCGCTGGCCCCCAGTCTCTTCGCTTCTTTGAATTTTGATTCGGATATGTCGATGCCGTACACTTTGGCCCCTTTGAGGACCCCAAAGCCGAGACCTGACATCCCAAGGCCACCGATACCAATAACGCCAATCGTCATACCCGGTTTCGCAGCGGCTTCGATTACCACAGCATGGTAAGATGTTGCCATTGCGTCAGTCGCTACCGCGGCTTGAGAAAATGGGAGGATATCCGGGATGTGGACTAATCTTGCCACAGGTGCCAGCACGAATTCTCCGTAACCACCGTCGAATCCAAGGCCAATAGCCATTGTCCAGTCTCGAAGCTTGATCGGATATGAGAAAAGTCCCACGGTAACACGGTCCCCCATTTTGAATCCTTTCACATCGGGGCCGAGAGCTGTGATTATCCCAGAGACTTCGTGGCCGAGAGTGATAGGCCGCTGAACAACCCCATCGATGCCCTTCAATATATGGCAGTCTGAATGACACAGACCAGCTGCTTTGACTTGTAGCTGAACCCAGCCAGGGCCAGGCTGAGGGATCGGTAGATTTTGCAGTTGTAGGCCGCCGCCTTTCTCCACGTACTGAAAAGCTTGCATTTTGACAGACTTATTGTTCAGGCTTATTGAAGTTGGCGCTCTAACAACCTGGTTCCGAGATGAACGACGACTTATGCCGAGACTTTATGCTTACAGAGCGGGGGCTTCACCCCGCATTTTGAATATTACCAGACCGAATCCCGCCGGAGTGACGCTTAATACTTCCCGGGGTGGCACGTGTGACAAATCATGCAACATCAGATGCGACGCCAGCCGAATCTACGCTACGGTCGAGCCAACGGCTGTCGTCCTACAGCGAGGAGTGAGAGCTGCTCCAGCGGATTCGGGTCCCGAATTTGATACCGAGAGCTCGGCCGGCGCGACTGGGATTGCCAACGGCCTTTCGCGGACATCTGGATGCCGCGGCAGAGGGACAGGCATGTCGGACAATGCCCACTTGATTAACGTGGTTCGGGCGATGCCCACTTAGTCTAACGTCTCACAGTCCACGGTGATAACGTAAAGTCTGACTCTTGCCAGCGAGTAAGTATCATGAGAATCAACATCATCGTGCAGCACCTATGGGGTTCGAGGCGGTCTTCCCGGACCTGCCAAGGACACCGAGGAGAGGCATGAATAGGTTCAAATTTGGAGCACAAGGAACTTCGGGGCAAGTGTCATATTTTCATTACCTCCTGGCTTTGATGTTAGCACACATCAATTGCAACAAAACAGGATTTTTTAATATATCACATATTCAAAGTTAACAATCAACAAAAATGCCTTTTGGTACACTATCTTTTGGAGCGGAATCGGTTCCCATATTTTCTCCCACATATCCGAAACCACCAGACCCATACAGCTTCGCAATCGATACGATGCTGGGCTTCACCTATCGCGTCGCCGTATCTCAAGTTCGCCATCTGGTCCCAAACGTGCTAGAGCTCGAAGACGAACCTCTCATGTCAACCACAGTGCTCGACTACGGAATGAGCCCTGTGGGGGCTTACAAGGAGTTCGTCCACCAAGTCGAGGTGACCTACAAGAATGAAAAGTTCATGTATAGTCTCATTTTGATTCTCGACAACGAGGCAGCCATATTCGCAGGACGTGAGCAGTACGGCTTTCCCAAAGTCTTTGGCAAGGCCGATATTCAGACAACCAACGGCACACGACTGGTTTTGGCAAATGCCCAGAGGCCGGTAGGACGAACTGTTTTCGAGTGCGAATTCATACCCGATCATCGAATTCCCAGTTTGCCTGCTGCAGAGAAATGGGGTCTCAATCTTCGTAGTATTCCGCAGCCATGTGTGGGAACATCACCAGCGATTCAAGAGCTGATTCCTACAATCATGGACTGGAAGTTTACCGAGATCTGGGCTGGCCATGGTCAGATCACGTTTCCGCGCCGCTCTGCATTTGATCCTTGGTGCGGTGTTGACATTTTAAGATACGAAGGAAGCTTCTTTGCGCGGGGTCTGACTGGTGAGCTTCGGTGTCGCGGTGAGAGTTTTCAGGTTTAGAAATGTCAAGGACTATGATCAGGTGGGGGCCAAGTGACTGAGTTTTTCAAGGTAGAGGTCGATACGTGAAGGCTCAAGATAGCGCAAAGACTTCATCTTGGAGCACCAGCATCGCTCCTAGCATGTGGAATTCACATCCCGCAGACTTTGAGACAACACCTGGCCATCTCTTCTATTGTGTAAATCGCGAGCTTACATATTGGTTATTTGTATTTTCGCCTCATGTGTCTTACCTTTGGCGATGTCCTGACGATAATATGCGGGGGATCAAAAGTCAACGCCGGCGTTGGAAAAGAGTGGTTTCACACAAGTTCTGGTCCTTCCTAGTCTGAAGGTTGTACTGATCCAATTTGACCCGTACTTTGAATATAAGAAAATGTATCAAAAATCACAATAGGACCCTGTCTGGATCATGTAAGTAATTGATCTGTTGGGGAACGGGGCCGTGGTCACGAATCATAGCTGGCGAAGAAGTACCCGCATATCTGTGGGAACAGGCTTGCCAAAGACCTCGATATAGACTCAGGAAAGCATGGCTTACAACTACAAGTCTTCAAGCCTAAAGACGAGAACGGGTGTATTATTAGTATCTGTCTTGATTTTGGGCAAGTCAACACCGAGAACGTTCCAGCTTTTTCTGCCTGAACTATACAGTCGATGGAGGTCACGATATTCAGCTTAAGAGGTTCGCCAGCATGGGTTTCTCTCATCCCGATCTGGCTGACCGCATCACCTTCATCCGCGCCAACATGTCTAAGCCGCTTTTTGGGCTCTTCAGGGCCACCTACGCGGTTGTTCAACGGCATATCTCTCACTATTCGTAACACCTGGCTTGTCAACTTCAACATGAATCTACAGGCGTTCCGACCGCAGCTCGCCGGCGTCTTCAACATGTTCGTACTTGCGGCATCTCGCCACCCCATAAGAATAGTTTTCAATTCATCTATGGGCTCTATCGTGAACGCACACCGTGACCATCTATCAGTCTTGGAGACGCTGCTACATAATGCAGACGCGGTCGATCCGGAAAAATGCGCCCGGAGAAAGTCGTGGAAGAACATCTCTGCGATGCAGTCGCCGCCACCTAGGTACGATCGTCACCGTCATTCGGCTGTGCCTGGTCGCCGACGCCGCACATGTGGCGAGTGATGCCGCCATCTGGAACCGTCATGAGTGATTTCTTACCCTGGTCATAAGCTCAGTCTACCTGGGCGTGCTGGGTTACTTGCCTGACGATGTCGGTCCTGTCTCCTCCGCGGTCGACTGGGTGTCTTCGCATGTTATGTGTGAAGCAAAAACAGGCTACATCTGCACGGCCATTGACTTTCAATATTATTTCTGAGGTCTGTTAAGTCGGTTGGAAATGGGGGTGGAGATTAGGTGTGGTTCTTGCGAGTTGTCAAGCCTGTTACGATCGGATACAACGCCTGAGAAATTGCGATCGCATATGATCCAGGATCTCTTGTCCTGCAAAGTTCCCAACATATATCAGCAATTGGACACAGCTCGAATTTTGGACCCAAAAAAAGACCAGGGCTCTGAAAAGTGGACGTAATCTGAGCCTCTATGTACCAGTCGCATCCGCGGTTCGAGGTCCGAAGGGTTGAGGTGCTTTTGTCCAACACACTTCGTTAACAACTCCATCCGTGCAAGGATTACTTCCGGCCTTGCCACATTGGCGCATTTTCATACCGGCTGTGATAATTTATCAGTTTTCTTACCAGGCCACACAGCACTTGTCCTCGACCAATGAGACTGCCTGGTCTCGGGCCACGTTGCCGAATGGGTAAAAAGATGCAGAAGCGAGCGAGGTGAAGAATCCTTCCTATATCCCTTAGCCGGCATGACGTTACAGTCAGGAACATTGTAGCGTTTGAAGAGCCGTGAGTCCCAACGGCGAAAGAGGCACACTCTGGCAGACAGGGACCTATCACTTTTATGAGAGAGGGCAGGAGAAGCAACTCGATTTGCATATGTGCCAACGAACCAAATTATTGACAAGAAGATCAGGAGAAATAGATCATCATGTGTCGAATTCCTGTTTAAGGAGAGCTAGAGTACATGGCTGTAGTCACAGTAGTCTTTTTAATACCCCGCCCATCGGTCAAGCTGTCCCGCAGCTCAACCTTGTCCTCACTTATGTCGCTGTCGTCGCCCCCAGTCCCAGCCGCGACAGTCGTGGTTCCCACAGGCCGAGTGGCGTATGTCTCCAACTCGTAATCGTTCCCCGTTCGGTCCATGTGGCTCCTAGAAAACTTTTCATCTCTCTCTTCACCTGGCTTGACCGGCCATTGGGTGTTTGACAGAGTCTGCCAGTTGCTGCCACTGCGTAGCGTACCACGGCCATAGTATGCTCCAGCTGTTGGCGCCTTGGATCCCTTTCCGTAGATGCTACCCAGGAAGTCCTTGAAGAGGGGTCGTAGAGTTGGTAGACTTCCAGCTATGATTCCAACATTAGCCTCGATGATGGTCCACATCTGAATATCTCGCGAGTCCCAAGTCGGATCAAAGGCCCTTCCATAACTTGTGACGATGTAGTAGACTTTGGCGCAAGCTGCTGCACATGCAAATACTCCCAGACCGAGGACCATCATGAGGGATATTCGAACCCTTCGTGGGACGTTAAGCCCCCAAAGCATAGGCGCCGGGATAGCGATCCCAAAGAGAAGGTCGGTAAGGATGTTCATCGAAGAGTTCGCATAGGAAAGGCCCTTGATCGTATCAACATCCCAGCAGGTTGCCTTGACGTTGAAGTCCCAGAATGCTCGTACATCGGTGCATTGGAAGATAATGGTCTGTGGCGGGTACATTTTGTCAGCAATAGGACTTCCAATCATCCTCTGAAGGTACTCGATAGTTACTGACGAAAACACAGGCAGTTGTGTAAGCGGTCATGAAGACCATGACCCCAAGAATGAGGTTCTTATAAAGCTTTTTGGAGGCAATCCGATGTAGCGATGATCCAACAGCAAGCTTGACTAAACAGATAGCAGCTAGGAATAGGGGCTGAGAGACGAATGCCATCTGCATCGCTATCGGGTAGTCTTTGACGAAGTCAATGTCTCCTACGTGGCGGCCAACTCCGTGAAGGACCTGCACGATCAGAACTCCTTGACCGGTAATTGCGATGACCATCGCGGATGTCATGAACCCGTCCTTTCGGCTCACTGTCAGCGTACCAAGGCCAATGCAAACATTCTGTAGGAAAAAATACCAAGTAAGCCCAGAGAATGCAAACTTACATCGAATCCGAAGCTGTGTATCATGCCGAGGCGCACCCAAAGGCGAGCTGCCACGACAATAAATGCCACAGAAGTGACTGTTAGTGTTGCGGCCAACGCCGTGGGTCCCTCATTCTCCTCCGGGTTCGAGACGAACTCCATTCTCTAATAAAGATGATGTGATTAAATTTGGCATCAGATGACTGAGAAAGAGGTCAAGATTGGGCTTGGTTTGGAGGGGAGGGCTTTGATAAAATTGGGCATCCAAGGCGCGCCGTGTCTTCCGTTATTTGGCCACGCATCATAGACTGATAGAAGGTACAAGTCTGTATATCGAATCCTCACAATTGGGCCGGCAGCGACCTCTCAATGCCACCTTGGCATTACGCCTCCACCCTCAAACTCGAATCCAGACTCTGGCTCATTGAAATGAAGCTGCAAGGGTCCGCAAATCCTCATCGGCCCATCTCTTCGCAGCAGTTTCCTTTTCAGTAAGGTCTATGGTGTCGACTATTTTTGCGATAGAAAGTACGAATAGAAAAATCCATCACTCCGATTTCCAGTCATGTCGGTTCTGCGTCGGAACGTCTGCGCCGCACCCTTTTCTTCACTTGGTTGGTGGCTTTACAACTTGGCGAATTGTAGGAAAATGCTGTGATGCTGGGATTAACAAGCATGGGTTTGACATTCCATAGGATGGTATGATAGTGCCCCTAGCTGCGAGTTGGTTGTTGGAGCTAGAATATGCATAAAGTCAGAATCTTTTCGACTCCACGGCCCTTCTCCGCCTGTTCTGGGGTCGGCGTAAGCCTTCAACCTCTGTTGCTAGGCCGTGGGATAAACCTGCACAGCATCGGGTTCAAGGCTGCATCAGGTAAAGAGCCTTACATGGGAATCTAAAACCAACACACCAACTGGCCCGGACCGTGGGCCGTTTCTGCAACCCCGGCTTCAACCTGCATGATGGAGTCGGGTAATCCGCCATCTTTCCCGCTCTTCCGGCCTTGGAAGCCAAGATTCGCCAAAAGGCCGACGGGTGTTCTGCCCTGTAGAGTGTAGCCAATTGCATCTTGGACCAACACGTTGCTCGTGGCTGGACTGAGATATATTTCGCAGAATTCTTACCTGGGAGGTGTTCACTTGGGCTGGGCTGGTGGCGATGCAAATTGGACCTTTTTACGCGACAGGATCCACCACAGGATCCCTGAATATCATGTACGGAGAGAGCACCAACAACGATGTGGCAGGGCTTGGGTTGACTTCTTATTTTGTCACTGATGTTAATCAGTCTCTTCTGACCGGATGTGAGACGGTGGGAGGGTTATATATCTGCCACATGACTGGCGTTTCTCCTGCAGAAGTTCTCTCCCGCACTCAGACAGTACTCAAGCTCTGAGCCACTCGTTCTTGCGGCCTTGTTCCCTTGTCCGACCCAGCCGACCTCATCATGCACGTTCTCTCACTTGGTGTTTTCGCCCTTCAGGCGGCTTCAGCTGTTCTCGGCAAGCCACTCCCTCAGACCGATGACGGGGCCGCTGCTGCTGCCGAGAACGTCGATCAGCTCGCGGCCCTCGCTCAGGCTGCCTACCAGAAGTCGGAAGAGATGATTCAAAGTGGAGAAATTCAGAAGCGTGGAAGCTCCTGCTCTCTTGGAAACATTAGAATACGCAAGGAATGGTGAGCTTCGTATTAATCATGCTCGCCATCTTATTTGAGTCGCGTTTAACTTGAATCTAGGGGTTCCCTGCAAAGACAAGAAAAACTCGACTACATTAAGGCCGTGCAATGCCTTCAGTCAAAGCCCGCCCTGACGCCTTCCGACATTGTTCCTGGTGCCAAGACTCGGTTCGATGACTTTGTCGCCACACATATTAACCAGACTTTCACCATCCACTATACCGGCACGTTTCTGTCCTGGCACAGACGTTTCACTTGGTTGTACGAAGAGGCGCTTAGAGAAGAATGTGGATACAAGGGCACTCAACCTGTAAGTTGCCTGCACAAACGCATGGTTGCAAACGGCTAATCAGCATGAAAGTATTGGGACTGGGCAAAGACCGCCGTCACTGGTGTGGATAGCTCTCCCATCTTCGACGGCAGCGATACATCAATGTCTGGAAACGGAGAGTTCATCCCTGACCAGGAAGATATCATCCTTACCAACCCTGATGGATCGGAAGCCGCTCGCCTTCCAACCGGAACTGGAGGTGGCTGCATTACATCCGGTCCTTTCAAGAATATGTCTGTGAACCTTGGCCCTCTGGCACTCTCTCTTCCGGGCGGAGGCAGTGAGACAAACCCAGACGGGTTCTTTGCCTACAACCCCCGCTGCTTGAAGCGCGACTTGACTACGGCTATCAACCGGAGGTACTCGAACGCTTCCGCAATTCTACACAACATCCTGACTCCTCAGAACGTCGGCAAGTTCCAAGTTGAGATGCAGGGAGATCCCGAGTCGGGTACCATGGGCATGGGCATCCACGGAGGTGGTCATTTCGTGAGTAGCTCCGTTCCTCCTGTGTTATTCATGTCACGAGACGTAGCTAATATTCATTAGACCCTTGGTGGTGACCCTGGAAGAGACTTTTTCGTATCGCCCGGTGATCCCGCTTTCTACCTGCATCATGCGCAGATTGATCGCGTCTGGTGGATGTGGCAGATGCTGTCACCCAACGCTCGTCAGTTTGCTGATGATGCCGTCATGGGGACGAACACATTCTTGAACTCGCCTCCAAGTGCCAACACAACTCTTGACGATGTTCTCGAGTACGGATACGCAGCCGGTCCTCCTATTAAGATTCGTGACACGATGAGCACTCTTGCTGGCCCGTACTGCTACGTCTACTTGTGAAGAAAGGTGCTTCACTTTGCCTACTACTCTATGTCACGCGAGATACTCTGCAAGTAGGCATAGAAAGTCAACGAACGGACAGCTATCATATTTGAAGATTTAAGCTTAGAGTAGTGTTTAATATTATACAAAAGACACAAAGAGGCCTACAAATGTGGCAAATACTTTCAACTAGCTCACAAGGATAGCATCATTCGCAACACCATTTCTTATTGCTTGATCCATGGTATTAAATGCCCTAGGTATTATCTTACAATATCACGTAGTCTCGGTGCTTTCGATGTACGGCTTCGCTATGTCTCAATGTCCGGTAGAAGAAACGAGCCAACCCTACTCAGAGTCAGCATTGTCGTATCTAGAACTTCACATGAATTAAGTACTATCATACGTACCCGATCAATGCATAACATGCACACATTAGTGTTCCTTTGATACCCGGCATCTTCAGATTGCCCTGATCATCGCTCAGAAGAAGCCGTGTGGAGAGTGCGGCTGCGCCTAGAAGGGCAGCCGCTTCGAATAAGCTGAAGTCAAAAGCTGCGTCTCGGCGCATGATCCAACCTGCCAAAATGGTCAAGGGGGCTGCGCAAAGTGCGATCTGTATGGCTGAACCAGCCGCAACCGCGATGGCAAGATCTAGCTTCTCTTTCGACGCCATTGTCACAACAGTGACGTATTCTGCCACGTTTCCAATGACCGGTAGAATTATCAAGCCGATAAAAGACTCTGATAGATGACCTTGATGTGTTATGTCATCAATCGTTCCGACAAGAAACTCGGTGCACATTGACATCAAGGCTGAGCTCATGATTAACGTGATGACGGAAATCGCTTTCTCTCCCAAGGACCTCCGGGAGCTCTTATCTCGATCTAGAATAGTTGCGACTTTTGAACGGCTAGTCTGGAAGATGCGCAACCTGTCTGAGCAAGACCTTCGATGGCCACCAGTACTAGCCTGAGAGACGTCATGGATTCGGTTGGAGCGGCTAGGATCTGCGACCGAATGACAAAGTGACTGACGACTCAATGACTCCGAGCTGTCGCAAGAGCTCTCGCGGCTATCTTTTTCTTCCATCTGGTGTTCTTTTCTTCCGCGTTCTTCTTCGCTGCCCCCACGTGAAGATGCGGGATCTGAGGAATAATCAATGTTTTCGAGCTCGAAGGATGTATCAGTAGGATGGTAGCCCTCGCTGGTGCCATTTGATATACCCGCATGAGAGTCAGCAAGAAGAACGGTCCGAGGCGATAATGAAGGGCCAGGTGGTACGATCGCTCGACCATCTTCTAGGTCCGTCGCATCTGGCTGTCGGATCGCAGAGGTGTGTTGCTCTCTCAGTTCGTGTACAAAATAGAAGATATAAATAAACAGAACCACAACTGAGAAAGCTCTGCTCATTGTTAACATGGCTTCACTCGCTCCTTCGCGCGCTTGAAACGTATGGCTGAAGGCGGCCTGGCGTTATGAGTATGGTTCTCAAACAGATGGAAGGTAGGTGTCGCTCACTCACCGGAATCAGAAGAACAAAGACGGAAACAAAGAGAAGGCAGCCCAGAAGTTGAGTCTCTGACATATTCAAGGCTGGCTCCTGACGAGACATTCCGCAGACACACAGGGCGGTGCCAAGAATTGGCAGCAAGTTGACAAGCATTGAGCCAAGAATTGATGCTTGAACAACTTGGATCTGATTATGTTTGAGGGAGATGCTACGGACATCAGCACGATACAAACAGCTTGATGTGAGCGATAAATAGCTCGCTTACATGCTACAAATTGTTAGAATTCTTCTTGTTTCGGCCAATGAACTTTGGTCAAGTGCCAAAATAACTCACAACAGAATCAGCTCCACGAGGTTTCCCATTGTTATGTTCAGCAAAGCTCCAACCGTGTCGCCTGCATCAGAAGCAATCATCTCAGTAGCTCCAGTGAGCAAAGAGGACAGTGGCACCACCGCTATGGCATTGGTGATGAATATGACCAGGGGAGCTTTATCAGACCAAAACGTCCAAACGCCGATGGGTACGAAGATAAGAAGGCAATTGAGCCACAACGAAAACATTTTCTTTCAAACTGCTTTCTTTACCTGCGGTGACTCTGTAGGTTGTGAAAGAGTTCTATTTTCTAAGGGCGAAAGATCGCGTGAGTTGAGACTAGCCTCAGAGCCGGCAGCTTCGGAAAAGGTCAGATGTCTGCTGCCTCCGAGCATCCGAGGGTACATGTACACCGCGTGCAAGGACATTTTCCCAACCAAGCATAATCATGAGACGAACTATATCCGCAATGACCACAATGATGAAAACATCATCATATGCTTACTTTCGGCTTCGAAATGAGGGGAGTGTGGCATCGCAAGCGGACTAGCACTTGACTGGACAGGGTGTTGTAGCGGCCTCAAGATACAGCCCGGAGCGGTTGCTACCTTTCCAAATTCCCCTCGTGCATCTCAACATCATGACCTTCTACAATCCGTTATTTGTGTGTTTGTTTGGACAAAAGCCATTGTATGAGGGATTTTGAGATGCCGCACATGGCCCGTGAGGGGCATTTTTGACGAGAGCGATTTTTTGACGGAGGCCTCCAGCTACATATCTGAGCAGCTACCGTCTGGCTCTTCCCTAGACCTCTCCATGTAGCTTTCCAGGTTGAGTCTAGTGATATACCTGGGCCTCAGGTATCTCAATTACCCCAGAGATCTGCTCATACATGCGGCGATGGATCCCTTTGCGGAACATTTTACTAGCTCTGGAGAACGAACACGAGCTGGTAAGTTTCCAGCGGCCGCATCTCTCAGAGCTGTATAAACAGACATTTCACGTCCATGAGGATAAAAATTTCAGTGGAGTTGTGATGCAGATCTACATTTCATTTCATATTATACCATGGACAATTCCGCGCCAGCCCTTCCGCATTTGGAGCACAATAGAAACTGTGCCTCGTCGTCATCTTTTCCAGGATACCCGCGCCGGCAACGAAATCTTGCCCACAGGTACGTGTGAACTTCGAAAATTTGAGTCAATAGCATTTGGTATTTACAGTGCTACAGAACAGGCCTGTTCTAATGGGGAAAGAAATATCTAAGCATCTCAGGATAACTTTTGGCAGTAATTGCCGACCGTGAGGCGGTAGGCCCCAAGTGTTATAACAACAACCATCAAACGTATCCATCAAGAGATGAAATTGAAGAGAAATCTGGAAAAAATAACAAACAGCAAGAAACAAGAGCCCCAAAATCATATAGTTGTCAAACACGCCGCCCCGTCCGCATCGTGATTCTTTCTCGGAGGGCTGTGCCAAACATGTTGAATATTTCCTTGCACACCCAAGGTCGAGACATTGCTGGGGACTTCTCTCTCCGTCGTTGGTTGCGGGACCTTAGTTTCCGATGCCTTTCAGAAGCTCGTCGAGGCTCCCAGATGTGACGACGGTCACCTTCTCACAAAGCTCAGGGGGGCATGCCTCCTCATAAGCCTTGATAGTTGAAAGTCAGTGTCTTGGTTTCTCAATCTGGATTTTCAGACAATGCTTACAATCAATTTTCCGGGCTTATTGGAACAGTCTTCCTTCAAGGGCACATGTCGGATCACAGAGGCGGCCAGCGTGGTAGGACCCCAGTTGAATACCGTCGGGGTCAAGGGCGCATTCTCGCGAAACTGATGAAGATTATCTAGGGTTCGCAATGAGCATCCACAGTCGGGTCTTCCATGCAAACTAACAGAAGTAAATACCTTCAAAACGAGTGACAACGTCCACAATAGTCGCGCCCCTTTGGCCGAATCCCACGCCAGTCACACCCCAGTGGGTGCCGTTCATCCGGTCGGCGATTCTTGTGATTGGCTGGTCCGGGCCTTGGAACAAAACTGTTTCAAGTGTTTATCAGTAAGTGAATAACACTTGGTGGTCCGAGGGGATTTTACCGTAAACATTGAAGCCGGCCTTGACAAGTGCGGCGGTGTCATTCCGAAGTTCCTTGTCAACATCAACAGGGTCATAGTGCTGCGCAATCACGTATGGGTGGTAGGCAGGAAGCCCCCTGTGCATGTTTAGTCGAGCTCTAAAGTTCTTCAACGATCTATGCGGTTCTTACGTATAGAAGACGTTAACTTCACCGCAGCCAACATTGGAAGGGTAGGTGATTTGAGGGAGCCGGAGTGGTCCCAAGGATGCGGTCGTGCTTCCGTAAAGCGCAAAGGTGAAAATGTTCCCAAGGGAGTATCTCATGTTGAACATCGCGTCTGCCAGAGTTTTAGTAGTAGCTTTCAAAGTTTGATGGTAATAAGTTGAAGTCAGACGATGGACTATGGCAGCTGCTGATGATCATAGCTCATCAACCATCGATCGTAAGGATGACAGCGAGGCTTTTGTAGTCAAATGTCTTTACTTCGGCCCTTGACTATGTTGAACCATCGCGAACTCATGGTATACCCCTTTCTCTCAGCCGATGAGTAATCGGCACAGTTTGAATCGCGACGTCGCGAAATCGTTGCATCAAAGTTGTCAGCCTTGCTAGGCAGACTTACACGCCTGCTACGTAATAAGCCGCCTGCATATCCTGGAAGAGAAATTCAGTGTACTCTGTTCTTGTCAAAGAAGCTCTACCCTGGTTGAGTTGCAGGGCGGCGCACCCACGTCCTACAATTCTGTGTGACCTAAGCGCTCTGCAATGTCTCCATGACGCCATGCAGCCTGATTCGGTGACGATCCTATCGGCTGTTTGTTCAATTACAGTCATCCTATCCATAAGATCACAACATTTGAGCGAGTCCAGAGTCGGTAGCTAAAGCAATACAGAGCCCTGATTAAGGACCCGAAGCAAAGTCATGAAACTATACTCGACCTGGCAGTTGATGGCTGTGCTGTCCTATCTCTGGATATCGTCACAAGGGTCTTCAAGCGATTAAACGGTTGAATTGGGTCCCCTACTTAATAACCCACCCTGCTCATATTATTATAGGCACTTTTGAACCGTCTACGGCTCCGCAAGGTGCATCCTTCGGAGGTCATCAGGCAACACTGTGGGGCTCCCGAAACCTTACCGGGACCGAGTCGGGAACCTTTCATGACCGAATGCTACATACCCCATTGCATCGTAGAACTTCAGGACACTCCCTGGTTAATTAAAGGGAGACTCTACGATAGACTATGTGTATTTGTAAGATTTGTAAGAATATTCTAATGAGAAGGAAATGATCCTTCAAAATGAGACCACTTCACCATTTGTAATCGATCCAGCTCCACGGAGTTGGGGCGCAAGCATGAACGTGTTGGCTTTCTTGTAATGGTTAAAGGAAAGAGAATGAAATTAACTACCTTCTCAAATCAAGGGTATGGATTCAATTCATAAGGTAGTCTGTTTGACAGGGAAGTAATCTGCATATGCTCTCGCATTTTGCGAACAACTACATGCGTTCATTCGCCATGCTTCTCCAATCTCTACTGTGGTCGATGGCCATAGCCATTAGTTATCAGCAGTCTGCACCTACACTGAGTTTTGACTTTCCATCGAATCCAAAAGTCGAAAGATTCAAAATTCACGTCCACGAATCCTTTCTGCATGACACCTTGCAGAAAGTACGATCTTATCGACCTACACATGGCCTGTCTTCATACTGGGATACTGAAGGGCCCCCCGCTGGAAATCTGACTGGCGTTGCGGAGTACTGGGCCAAACAATATGACTGGAAGAACGTTGAGAAAAGGCTCAACGACGATTTCTATCACTATGCAACGACTGTGCCGGGAGTCGAAAATTACCCATATCCTGTACCGCTGCATTATATCCATCATGTTTCCGCCAACGCCAACGCCACACCACTGCTCCTCCTTCACGGATGGCCATCAACAAATCTGGAGTGGTCAAAAGTCATCAAGCCTTTGTCAGAGAATTCCGAACAGCCATTCCACATCGTCGCACCAGATCTACCAGGCTTTGGATTCAGTCCAGAGCCCAAACACCCCGGGCTAGGATTGCGGGAAATGGGATTGGCCTTTGACACACTGATGCACCAGCTCGGTTACGAAAAGTATGGCATAGTTACCACCGACCTAGGATGGGTCACCGGAATGTGGATGACCATCGACGTGCGTGATAGTATCATTGGCCACATGTGCGACTTCTTCATCGCTGAGCCAACCACTGGAGACCGGGCTCGACTGGGGCAGAATAAGACCACCGACGAAGAAACTCTGTATATGGAATCTATTGAAAAATGGTTCGGCTCGCATTGGGCATATTCCATTGTCCATAGCCAGAAGCCTCTGACGATATCCCAAGCTCTGGCCGATAGTCCGGTTGGTCTGCTTGGCTGGTTCTGGGATGTCAACTATGCCACTTCCAACGGCTACCCTTACACCGAAGAAGAGCTCATCACGGATTCGATGATGATGTATATACCAGGGCCATACGCAGGTATTCGAGCTTACCTGGGATTCCAGGTTTGTCATCCCATTTTTGAGTGTGGTTTTTTGTAAGCGTCGTGATTATTGACACCTATGCTAGTCGCAATTTCCCCACACAGACGTGCCCACAGGGGTTTCTCAGTGGAGCATGGGTGATGGCCCGTTCCCTGACATTGGAAACTTTGGGTTCGTGGTGAGTTCTACCTACCGTGGAACACGTGTATCCAGACACCACAACTGACCTTCAACAGCCAAGAGATTGGATCGAAAGATCCGTTGAATTGGTATATTTCCAGCGACATCAAGTTGGCGGCCATTTTCCAGCTGTCAGTCAACCCGACCTGTGGATGAGTGACGTGCGGACTTTCTTTTCCACCCTAAGCAAGTTGTCTTCTGTGGAAAAAGATGAGCTCTAGACTGTTGTCAGAGAGACTGCATAAACACCACGACGACAAGAGTCTTTGAATCGGATGTGAATGTAATTTAATGCGCATATTGGACGCGGTCCAACAAGTCTCTAACAAAAAATGAGCCTCACGAATCAACAAGATCCTTGTTTTTATCCCATAGTCTAGACCGAAGTCTTTGGCATCATACCCTATTATTAGCCTTCAACGGTTCCTGCTCACCTGTAGAATGGTCCCGCTGCATGTATGAAGCACTGTTAGCGTGTCCACGTATCATGCCACAACGCCACCGATGTGCAGCACCAGCCACGCCCCATCTTCCACGACTGGTGCTCAGGAGGATCCTGCAATATCCAAGACAGCTGTCATTGATCCAGACATTGAAGCAAGTTCTCCCTGGAACTGGGGTCGACAAGCGGTGTGTCAGCGGCTGAGTGCAGAACCCCGCGCGGGCAGGGATACAGGCCCAATGATAAAGCTGAAGGGCAAACTATGCCAAGCAAGCTTGTATGACATCCAGTGATCTCCGCAGTCTAACAAGTGACGTCAACCCACTTTCCATGTTCACTGCCAAGGAACACGAATGACAAGCCACCGCGTAGTCTGGGCATCAAAAGCGCTCATCACCCATCAATCTCCCTTTTGATGTTGGGCTTCAGCTGGAGTGTTCTTGACTTTCCCCTGAGTGATCCACCCTCTAATCCGGCTGACCCACTCTTGCAGTAACTCATTGATATATCATCGTTGTTCCTCGAGGCCTCTCGTCTCTCATCGCCGAGTACCACTTCAACCTACTCTGAATTGTTTCTTTTTTCATATTCAACACCCTTGTTCAAAATGGCAGGAATCGTAGACAAGTTGACTGCCTCTGGAGGCACCGAATCAGCAGGTAGGGCGCAATGTTTCTATTTCGGGAGCTGTGGCATTTGGTTAGTCGGTTTTTGGTGTCTAATATCTCATCAGGATTCCTCAACGACATCATCGAGCAGCTATGGCCCAACATCAATGTTGCCGGTTGCAGGATGGTCAAGGAGATCGTGGAGCCCATGTTCGCCACGATGCTTCCTGGCCCCCTCGCCAGTCTCAAGTTCGTCAAGCTGGACCTCGGAAATGTACCCATGCAAGTATCAGAAGTGGACGTTCACAAGGTCGACAATGGCGGTATCAAGCTTGACATGGATGTGATCTGGGAGGGAAAGAGTGACATCGAGCTCGATGGCAAGATGGTGCCCAAGCTGGTAAGACCCTAGCATCAAGATGACCGCTTGACTCGCGCGTAGCTAAAACGGACGGCCACAGGGCATCGAACATGTTCATCTGAAGGGCAGGCTTTCAATCTTGCTTGCACCTCTTACAAACATCATCCCTCTTGTAAGTCCCTACCTCGACCTGTCAATTCCGTGTGCATGTGCTAAGTTTGGGAATAAGATTGGAGCTGCACAAGTCGCTTTCATCAACCCACCAGAACTCAAACTCGACTTCACCAATGCTGCAAACATCGCAGACTGGGCTTTGGTTGATAAGGCCGTGCGCAAGGTCATTCTGGACATCATCGCCTCAATGGCCGTGCTCCCCAACCGTTATCTCGTGAAGCTCGACAGCAACAACGACTACTTCAGAACATACCTGCCTCATTTGGGCGCCCTTCGCCTTACTATCCAGAAGGCGATTGGCATCAACGGTCCAAAGAAGAGTGGCGCCAAGAGACTGTTGGCCAAGATCGTCAAGGACGTCCCCGACTGCTACGCCAAGGTGAACGTTGGTGCTGAGGAGGAATGGCGCACCTCCGTCAAGAAGAATGATCACGACCCGGAGTGGAACGAGACCCATGACTTCCTCGTCGCAGACTACGATCAGCGCATCTTTATTGATGTCCAGGACGATGACCTTGGCGGCGATGACGATATTGGTATCGCGACTACTACGGTCAAGGACATTTTGCTCAACGGCGGCTCCCAGGAGTTGGCTCTCACCCACAAGGAGGAGCCTACTGATGCCAAGATTGTCGTCCACGCAAAGTTTTACAACTTTGTGGACAACGCTGAAGTCATCACATCCACTCAAAGTGAGAATGAGCACCAAATCGTCGGTCTCGCAACGGTCCTCATCGCCAGCGCCCTCGGATTGCAGGGCCAGCGCGACGAGCTTAATCCCAGTATCAAGGTGACATGGGGTGCAAAGGAGTTCCGCACTGCGGCCAAGACCTACAGCCCGGGAACGGATATCTTCAACCCGTCTTTCGACCAGGCATTTAGGATCCCTGTGACGGCGGATTTACTCGCCAACCCTGCCAACTTCAAGATCTCTCTGCTTAACAAGGCTGACGAGACTGGTGCTGTTGAGATTCCTTTCCAGGATGTTCTTCAGGCGCCTGGGTTGGTCAAGGAGGAAAGTTTCGATGTTGGATCTGGTGCGACTGTGAGAGCTAGTATCTCTCTTCGCGGCTTGCAGGTTGCGCACTAATCTGCACACGATTTGACGAAATGTCCATGTACAACTACACGATAATACACGATTGAATGATATTAATCAAGTTGAGACGTATTTCGTGACGAGAAAGCATCGATTTACGTGAGATTGAGTGTCTGTAGCTCAATGGTTCCCTGCAAGAGCTCGCCATCCATTATACCATGAACGTACGCCTCGCCAACAATTTGGGAATATCCGGTCCAAGTACATGAGCGGGTCGAAGTAATGAACGGTGCGTCGGCGCCAATAATTATCCACACATCATCGCCTACTGATGTTGCCATTGGCGCAAGTCCTACGTATCCTCCGTCGGTTACAAAGGGGCACCTCCCAGTGAGCTTGGCAAGGGCGACATTCATATACTTCATGCCCTCAGAGTGTTTTCCTTGTCGCAAAGCTTGGTACGATATAAACATTTTACCAGATGCCCGTTCCGTCTCCCAGTTAAATGCAAACTCTCGATCAGCGATTGGAGTTCTCCACAACGCCTCTCTCAGGGCTTCATCGGTATTGTAGACTGCATTAGTTCTTGCCAATATGGAACCAAGATCATCGAGCCATCTGAGAAATAATGACTGTTGAAGCCCAACTGCCTCACCCGCGTTCAACCCATTCAGTCTTACGAAAGGTTCTCCTTGTTTGACAATCTTGCCGACTTTCATAGCCTTCAACGATAGCGAGTTCGCAAGGAACCGATTCTCGACTGAGAATGCTGCTGAGAGAGACTGGGAGAGTGATCCGGAGGCCATGTATGCTCTTTCTCTGTTTTGGCCTCGCACTATGAAAATGGATGGGACGTGTAGCGGCTGCGCCAAGAATTTCGAGGACCAGTCGGGTGCCCATGACGGTTTGCTTGAGTATACCATATCTGCGGGATGGATGTGCACACCCCCTACCCCAGCAAATGATAGGACTCTTGGGCCATAATATATCAGACAGGCTTTGGCTACCTCCGTCCGAATTGCTTGCCAATCCTTGTTGTACTGGACTGGGATTGACGGGCTCAAATCCGGGCTAATCAGGCCCAACAGCGAGAAGACGTAGTCTCGTTGATCGGAGGCCTGGAGTTGAGCTTTGTTTGCCATTCTTGAGAGCAAAGAGAAAAGGGTGAAGAGTGAAGAGTTTGGGCGAGTGAAGGCAACGGGAGTTACCCTGTCGAGAGCCGCCGTGAGAAAAGCCACCAGCGTAGAGCTATCTGGCCTTCCCGTGCCCGAGCCGACGATGTTCAGATAGTCGCGCACACCGCAGAGCACCCAGAATCCGTTATAGAATGCATCCCAAGAGGCCCAAGTATCACCGCAATAGACCACGCAATCTTTTGACAGCACGCGTTCCTGAATCACCCAGACGCGCTGGAACCAGGCTCTCTCGAATAAAGAGCCGATAGCGTTTAATCTTGCAAACTTGTTGTGACAAAGCTCTCCGATTATTCCTATGAGCATAGCCTGGACCTGATCCACCGTCGGATTGACCGCGATCTCGGTGAAGGGAAATTCGGACCAGGACATGACAGCAAAAGCCCCCGAGTCTACCAACTTGTTTACTTCGAAAAGAGTATCCATTGCAAGATCACTGTTCAAGCTTGCCAGGCCGAGCCAAATAAATGTTTTTGTAGCGCAGCGGTAGATACCTCTCATATAAGATACTTGTTGGGCTCTCTCTGCTTCGTTTTTCTGGTCAATACACAAGGCATCGATCCAAAAGGTTGATCCGAGGTTATCGCCAATTTGTCGAGAAGCCAACTTTCTCAGAGCTGCTTCTAAGTTTGTGGTAACTTGAACCAACTGGTCCTCCACTAGGATGTCCTTTGTGATGTCGGCATCTCCCCATGCGTATGAAACCGCCACGTAGGATTGCCCCTCGTTGAGGCTGGCGTGCTTCAGGCGACAGCGAACGAGTAGGTCCGGCGTAGACCCCGGGTCTTCTATCTCCAGAGGTGCTATTTCGATGAGGCGAAATTCTTTCTTTCCCGGATCTAGTGGTTTATATTGGAAGGACCGCAAGCTGCTAGCCAGCCGATGTTCGGCCATCGTTCGCGATGAAGGGAGGTAGTAGCGTGCTAGGTAATGTGTCGTTGAGTGAAATACTCAGGCGGGGACCCGTCAACTGCCTTTTTGTCACGCTTCCTTTCTGTGACTTGAGAAGTACATTGCGCCTGAGGGTCGCTTTTTTGTGGCTCTTCGATGGATTGGCGGCTTGTTGCAGCGGCAAGATTTGTCGCGGTTTGCTGTGCCCCTCTCCCACAAGGCAACTCTGCTGACATGTTGCAGATGGTCCTGTTGATCCGACCAATCATGGGACGCTGCGATAACTAGTCATCGTCGTACGGGTTCGGTTATTTGTGTTCTACAAGCAGTGCGTTGACCACTTCACTCTCCGTATCCCAGACCGTCAAGATACGATACCCTCGGGTATATATATGGATACAAAAGAATCAATTTCTTCTCAGTGAAACATAATAGCCTTTTCAGAAGCGAATGGATACATTGTTTTGGCTATTTCAGACTAACCTTGATTATTGAACGCTACGAAACTCAGACCGTTGGTCTTCATTCACGAACAACGCGACGTGTGTTTCGTCACAGCAGAGTGTTTGGTCGTTTTCGTCGATTTAGCTTCAGGGCCCTCAGATAGCGTATGCCAGTCGTTGAAGAGGTATGTATACGATCTTCTATTGCTAGTCCAATACCTTAGGAGGCGGGTCTCGGCCTCTCGAGAGCCCGCCTCTCTAGGTGCAGCTTTGGCAGGGAAGCTAGAATGCCTGATTGAAGATACCGTCGATCATGTCTTCCGCCTCGTGGTGACTAGAAAACTTGCTTGAGGTCAGCTATTGCCGGATATTTGATCTCAAGTCTATGGGCCCGGCTTCCTCAAGCTAGGCAGGTCACGGGAATGAACCTATTGCATTTCAGGGGCTAACTGTATCTCACTTGAGAACGACATACATCTACACGTAAAGCAAAAGTGGGCAGTGAAAAGGAAATTTTGCTAAGGCTAGATCTCAAGGTATTTCTAGCCGACAATAAGGAAGATTTACAAAGGTCAATAACAAGGATCCAAAAGGTCAACGGCAAAAGAATAATCAAAAAAGAAAAAAGTCACAAGAGAGGGACTCGAACAAGAGGCCTTATTCCATAGAAGGCGGGAAAAAATGTCTTGACACCGTAAGTACCCGTTAGGCTACAGCGGCACCCGACCCGTCACCACACGATATGAGCCACGGCAGAAGCTGGATCTATATCTCCTGAGAGCTGTGGATATCAGCTTGGACCAAGACTTCAGTAAGGGGGGACTCAAAATCGAACGGTCCATACGGGTGTTTCTGTTCCTGTCTTCTGATGTACTCCAGCCAAAAGATGTTGCTTTTAACCTTGCAGTCATCTCGTGTCTTCTTAATTTCCCGCCATGTTGCCTCCTATCTTTTTACCCTCCACCCAGTGTTTTACTGAGACACTGCGCGTGAACAGTTTCCTACGGCCTCATGCAATTTAGCATCGTGTTGTCTCGTCCAAGTGGTCAGGCGCTCTAGTACTGGTCTTTCTATCTACTTGCTGTATGACGCCGCTTAATCATGCCTCCCCCATCCTGTTCTAACTCGCTGATGCCCTGCTTCCATTCTCAAACCCGCAGCTCCTGCTCCTTGCTTCCAGGCGGCTACTTTGCCCATATCCCCCACCTGCCAGTATTGGGCCATCCTCCTTCTCGTTCCAATATCACCACCATATCCCACCCTCACCATCCTTCCCCGTCTACCTCAGTCCTTCCGCATGCCGTCATTCATACTTTCTTTTCTCTTTACCGACTGTTCTCGCCCTTCCCACACTCCCCCGCCGCCTCCCACATCACTCAGTTGCCTTCTCGTCGTCGTCGAAGACACCGTAGGTGGCCTAGCTGGTGCATGGCGCTCGCTCGTCACCACACGATGTTGAGAGATCCCGGGTTCGATTCCCGGCGAAGCTCACCTCGGAGTGGGTTGCGGATCAAGTCTTCCCCTGGGGCCACTCAGAGATAGAGATGTAGTAGGCCAATGTGCTTTGCGAACTCTTTTTGCATTTTGGTTTGGATTGGACACTTAATTAAGTTCCAAAAAGAAAGGAGTGGGAGAGGTATCTGGATCTGTAAGTGCTTGCTTGGCTTCGGGCGGCTGGACGATGGTGATGGTGGCAACGACAGCGACAGCGGCCAAGCGCTGGTGATAATTACCGGACGGAGTTTATGATCATGTTATCTTGAATTAATGGCTCATCTTCTGCGCAAACACGAGCCCTACAAGGATCTCTCAGAAGAATATCTCGCGTACCAGCTTCGTCACATTCACTCTCGCCTGGTCTCTTTAATTATTGTGTTCGGTAACCATTACCCAGAAGTTATCCTGCATGAACAAGTTGTGATTCACGCTATGCCAAGGCTTAGCGGGATCCGAAATCTGGAACTCAAAATTGCGAAGCAACTAAGTATGGAAATGTCAGTATCTCAACACCTCACAGCGCCACCACCTTCTCAAACTCGGGGCAGAAAGACAGTACTTACTTCAACAAACACTTTATTCAGCTCGAGAAACGCAACATTCTTTCCCGCACAACCCCATCGTCCATATCCAAACGCGAGTTCGGTTGTCTTCTGCATCTTATCCCTCGTCGCCGCATCGGCTTCGATCCATCGCTCAGGCCGGAAGAGATCCGCATCTTTACCAAAGACGTCGACGCGACGGAGCGTGCCCCATACGTTCTGGGCGATGCGCGTACCACCGGGAATGAAGCGTCCATCAATGGTGTCTCCTCCGGCGGGTACCTCTTTGGCGCAAAGGCCGGTGAAGGGCGCGCACATCCGAAGACCTTCATAGATAATGGCCTGGCTTTGGTGAGCAAGTCGAAGTTACGGTCACCAGGAGCGGAAATTTGAGGGGCTAACCTGAAGGTAGGGCAATGTTTTTCCTTCTTCATAGGTAATGGGGGAAGAAATCCGGCCTTGGGTGACAGCTGTGACAATTTCGGCCTTCAGAGTATGATATGCGCGAGGCGATGTAATAAGATGTAAAAAAGTCGTCCGAATTGCTGTTGCGGTTGTGTCTGATCCAGCAATGATCTGGAAGAGAACTTCTGTTTCACACTCGCTCTGGCTAACGCCGTGTCGAATAAAGGCACCCTGTTTGTCCTCAGCTTTGCTCCAGATAGGATGTCAGAAAGATGACCTACCAGCATGTCAGGTTCCTCCTTCGCATCTGTACCGAAACGTCGTCCGACGACCTCCTTGGCCACTCTACGTTCCGATCAGCATCGCACCATCATGCTACCCATTGAAGAAGCAACACGTACCCCATTAGCTTTCCCAATCCGCTCTTGTCAGTATGTTTTGGGCCGACCGCTCCCAGGACGGGCTTGGAAAACATAAAGCTGGCAAGCCACGGCACCTCACTGCATAGCTGCAGAAGCGGTATAGCTGCCTCCGTTGTGCTGATGTAGTCATGGACATCCGAATCAGTAGCTAGGTATCCAAACTCCTTCCCGTACGCAACTCTGGTAATAACATCCAACGTGAAATACTGTGCTGTCTTTCCCAGGTCCATCGGCCTGACGTCGTCGTCGGTAGTCACATACTTCCTCCGGATGAGGTCCACAAAACCAGCCACCTGGGAGTTGATGCCATCTTCGAGCGCCAGGTTCTCTTTGCCGGCATATCCAGCTGCGCACTTGGCCTTAAGCCTATCATGTGCGCCGGTGTCGCGCAGACTGAACAAGCTGTCTTCGTGAGGGTTTAGCTTCGTGGTATCGTACCAGGATGATCGGCCGTAAGTAGAGCGCGCAGCGTTCATGCGACGTAGGATATCCGGGTCGTCGGTGACGAGGTCGTTTGGGCCAATGCGGACCAGGGAGCCATGTTTCCTGTTGAGGTTGGTGAAGTGTTCGGCCGGCCGGCCGGAGCGCGCGTTTGATATGAGCCATAGGTAAGAGAAGCGTCCGATGAGAGGGCCGGGGAATTGGCGGAGACGACCGTAGGCTATGACAGATGAGACTACATAATAGACGATGAAAGCGACGCTGAGATAGAGTGATGCCGAGCCTGCATCGAGGTATAAGGTGAACTTGGAGAGCGCCATGTTTCATCGGCTCGTCGCGCAACTTGAGTGCAATACTGAGGGAGGCAAGGTTGAGTTGACTTCAATTTCAACCATCGAGCTCTTATTCAGTGGTCAGAGTCCTCCATTATAGCTAGTATTTCAATGCCGACAGCGACCATCTTCTACTCTTCGGGTTTGCCCCGTGCAGACATTGACGTGAACCCTTGCCATGCCAACGTGTTGAACGTTGCAACCCCGTCTCTCGTTACATCGCTCGGGATTCTATAGACGTCTTGAGGATGACAGCGTTGGCTTCCATGTCGATGAACCGGGGTTTGCGCGTTGGAAGGCTTGGTGTACCGGGCCGTTGTCACCAAAAGTCCCAAATGCCGATTATGAACCTACCTCGATTCGGATAGCCTATCTGGAAGAGTCGCACTGCCCAGTATTTGGCATCGTTCGATTGCAGACATTCAGTCTATCAATGCCAGGTGATGTCCAATAATGTCCTGCCTGTCGGACCCGGGCAAGATGCGAACGAGAGATCGGCAATTGGAGATTCTAAACATTGATGCTTGTGATTGGACATTTTTTGGGGGAATACGCTTGGAGGGGAGGCAGCTTTTGTGGGTTTCTCGACCCTGTCTTGTGTAACGTACGGAGTAGGGATCACGGATATGTCGGCGTAAGCGCTTGAGCTTTTGTGGTTACAATGGATGTGCCATGATGGATCGCTATGGGACTCTCTGATAGATTTCTGAATGGAACAATGGGCAAAGAAGGTGTCTTGGTAAGCTGTTGCTATTCAAGGACAAGCGATCATGTGCCAAGGGTAGAGCCAGACTTTGTCGACGACCCATATAGGCCCACAGACACGAGCTGGAGGAGTAATTCAAGAGGTGTTATTGGTTGGAGCAGGAGAGGGGCATGATCTCAAGTCACTTCGCCGTCAGGAAAAGAGTAGCAAACATTGCGACAAAGTCTGACAAAGCCTGTGATGGTCAAGAAACAGTAAGAGGCAGCAGCGACTTCGGGCCAATTTTGTAAAGACATCCAAGATCTGGAAGCTTGCTCCAAGACGAGGGGCATGTAGGGAATTCGCGATAGCCCGAGAAATGAAAGGCTGATAATTGGGAAGAGAATTGGGAGGGTTGTCCAAATCAAAAGCACAGTAGCATACAAATTCCGTCCGAGGCTAGACAGAACGGCCCCCATATCATCCTTTACTCGAGTCTTCGCTGTCCCCGAGGCGGGATTGCTCCGCCAAGTGTAGGTGGTTGTTGATACACTTTCTTCTATAATACAGTCGTCTTCATCGCCGCGACGGGTGATGTCGTCCGAACCCTTATTGAGGTGCCTTGGTGCGCAGCTGAACGCCGTGCCACTGCTTCATCATGTCGCCCAAGACGGCGTTGACCATGCGCTGCTGCTTCAGCATGTTGGCGCCCTTGAATTTGGCCGAGGTGATGTCGATGGCGTACATGGAACCGCATCCACCCGAAACGTCTTGGACAATGAGCTCCGAGGGCGTGAACTCAGCGACTAGCTTATCCCATATCGTCGACTCGGCATCGTCGAGGTGGTCGGGCTTCTCGAGGGCTGTTGATGTCTCGGTCGCGGAGGAGTAGGAGCGCTTGGAGATCGATTGGTGGTTGAACTGAGGCCGTGATCGGATCGTCTTCAAAACTTGGACTGTAGGCGTGGATCTGGGGGCATCGTTTCTTGTTGCGATCGAGAGACTGGAGAGGGGAGCTTTTGCAATGGTGTTCGTGGGTTTGGGGAGCGCAATTGCGCGACGGCACGCTCTGCAAAGCATTTGGGCTAGGTCGGTGGTTGATTTGTTGACTGTTGGGTTCGTATTGCAAGGATGTTTGGCAATAGCTTCAAATGGGGTCGATTGAGGCTATCGCAGTCGAATGGAGATTCCCAAATAATTTGCCGTGGATCAGTGGAAAGCTTCAATTCGGAATTTCTAAGCTCGCGGCTATTGACGTCAACCAGGAATTGGGTGAGCTGCCGGGATTTAGCCGGAGACTGTGTGGGACTGACAGTGTGGCTGAACTCACACGGTGCTCGAGTGAGATGAGTGGCTCAGTGAGATACAAGTGAGACTCACCATCTTCATCAAGCACACTCACTCACATGCTTCTCACGTGTCACTCACTCGACCTTCACCCCTTTCAAGCTAACAAGCAACCTGGTTCACTTCGTGCGTAAAGTGAGAAAAGAAACATCTCCTAGCCATCTCATTAAAGTCACAAAACAGCTAACATGGATCACAGGGCCTGAAAATTTAAAGGGGCTAATGCGACAACACCTTCAACCACCAAGGGCTACATCATCACCCTCAGCTCTCCTGCTTCACATGCAGATGTCCCCGCTAGGATAGGCTGCTCTAGACGGTGGGAAAATTATTTCTGCATCTCCAATCTGCCAGCCATGGCGCGTCTCTCACCTACTTCCGCCAAACCACCCCGGCAATCTCTCCCAGTTCGAGATCACCCCGTCCGTCTTACCCCAGGGCCCAGGGCCATCAATAGCGTCTCCCCGCATCTCCCCGCATTCTTCTCCAATGATTTACCCCAGGTCGTGAAAGCTGCTTAATCCGACACTAGAAATTAGAGGCGACGAGGTTCTCTTGCGGTTTTTGTCAATTTCCTCCAATCAGGCGTGCTAGGGTCCCGGCCGGCAACACTTTTCCTAGGGGTTTGGGAATGAATGCGAGGAACGCGATGAACGCGATGAACGCATCAGGGTAAGACGGCGAGCTTCGATGCTACGCTAAAAGGCGTATAAAACGTGCTACATAGAGGAAAGGGGGCGCTCACTGAAAATGAGAAGGGCTGAGTGGCAGAGAAAAGCAGCAGCTTGATCCTCCTTCTTGTTTTCATGGCTCGGTTGTCCTTTTTGTTTTCCGCGGTTGCGGCTTGCTTCCTCCAGGCCGTAGCAGCTCAAGAGCCTACAGCCCAGGTCCTCAACGGCACTTATCAAGGCCGTCATTTAGCTGAGTGGGACCAAGATGCCTTTCTCGGTGTCCCTTTTGCGCAGCCTCCAGTCGGCCAGCTGCGGTACAAGTGGCCACAAAGCCTCAACACCTCCTTCGAAGGAACGAGAGATGCCACGGAACAGGGCTACAGTTGTATGCAGTTCAGAGGAACATTCAACATGTCCGAGGACTGCTTGACCCTCAATGTTGTTCGTCCAGCTGGAAAACCTGAGAAGCCGCTCCCGGTTCTCGTATGGATCTTTGGCGGTGGTCTCTATACTGGGTCAATTGTAAGAAAATGTCAATCTTGATGCATCAAGTGTTGAGACTGACTCGAATATTGCACAGGCCGACCCTCAATACAACCTCTCAGGGATTGTCAAAGTAAGCCAGGACATGGACCAGCCCATTATCAGCGTCGCCATGAACTACCGTCTCAACATGTACGGATTCCTACAAACACCTCAAATCCTCGCCGAAGGCTCCAGTAACGCGGGTCTGCTGGACCAGAGGTTGGCGCTCCGGTGGATTCAGGAGAATATTGCGGCCTTTGGTGGAGACCCGGACCGGGTGACGATCTGGGGCGAGAGTGCCGGGGCCCAGAGCATCGCCTACCATATGTTTAGCTACGATGGCCGGGACGACGGCCTCTACCGCGCCGCGATTCTCGAGAGCGGCGGGCCGACGGGGGCCCAGGTGCAAGACCTGGCCTACTACAACGCCCCCGTCGAGAATCTGACGCGCAGCGTCGGCTGTTGGACCGCCAAAGACCAGTTGGCTTGCCTCCGCGGCCTTACTCAGACGCAACTCTTTGCAGGAAACCCCAGTCAGGTGTGGAACCCGATGATTGATGGGGACTTTTTAACGGGCTACCCGAGTCAACTGATCCGCGAGGGCAAGTTTGTCAAGGTGCCTCTCCTAACAGGCGCCAACAGCGATGAGGGCATCAACTTCAACCCCAACAGCCCCAAGCCAAACACCGAGACAGACCTGTTCAACGGCTTCACTTGGTGGCGCTCTTATGCCCTCTCCCCGCCGACGATCAGGAAGCTCTTTGAGTTGTATCCTAACGACCCCTGCACCCAGCCGCCGCTCTCCATCACGAACTGCTCCGTGTACCCGGAATACGGCCTGCAGTGGCGACGGGGTGCCTCCATCGGCGGCGACCTAGTCATGATCTCGGGCCGCCGCAAGATGTGCGAGCTCTACGCCGTCTCCCAGCCCGTGTACAGCTACCGCTTCGACCAGCTGCTTTGGAACCGCAAGCAGATTGAGGGTGTGCGGCATTTTGACAACGTCGCGTACAGCTTCCAGAACATTTCTGGCCTGCTCGGGCCGTCGCCGCAGTATGACAGCCACGTGCGCTTCGCCCGCGCCATCGGCGAGGCCTATGTGCGGTTCGTTTGTGAGACGGATCCGAACCCGAAGGCTGCCAGTAATGGGACGTTTACGAATGGCACGTCGCTGTTGCCGTATTGGCCCAAGTATGACTTGAGTGCCCCCAAGAACTTGGTGCTGAATGCATCCAAGAGCTTTGTGGAGGATGATACCTGGAGGAAAGAGGGCATAGACTTCATCAACACATACGAGGTTGCAAGAGAACTTCTTGCATGATGGAGTGGCCTGCATTTGGGTGTCTGAGAACTGGTCTAGTATCTAGCATCGGACAGCAGATGGATAATCGGCATCGTCCAGCGTACAGAGTACATAGATGACACAGCAATAAGCAATGTTAGTTAAGCATGATGTGTTAAGGATACTTATCTCGCCCACATGTTTCTTTTCGTACTAGTGGAGACTGCCTCGATCCTCCGCCCTCGCCGCAAGGCCAAGGAGGGGAAACAAGGCGACTCTTGTCATGGAGCCCGGTCACCGCCCAGCCGCCCGTTGACCCTCCCCCCTTTCTTCCCGGGACGGACTGCGACGGTCGCATTGACGATCTGTAAGGTACGACCCATTGTGCCCAGACAGTTGGGATGCTGATCTTGTGGCAGCATTGGCGTGCCTCCGAAGACTTGGCTGAGTTTGGCATCTATGTTGGCCAGCACTCTGCATCGGTAAAGAAGACTAGACTTAGTACTATTTGGCCGACTATTGCCAGCATCTGAATGATTACTTCGTAGATGCTTTATGAAAGTCGTATAGTATCAACAGTTGCAGTGTATCGCGATACGATAATGATCGATTGTTTCGCTATGAAACCCGCTTCTGAGTTGGACAGAGCAAGAACTAGCTTCATGCTTTGGGCAATCAGAAATCAGAGTTGTGTCGGCGAAGGCCGCTGTGGACATTCCCCTGTTTACTTTGAGTTCCACACGGAATACAGAGCCTGCATCTCTGTTTAGACACAATATTGAACACAGAATTGAAGTTATTCGACCAGGTAAAGAATATCGTCAGTTTTTCCGCAAGAGCACAAAGCTTGTAGTCTGCTGCATGACGATGCATGTTGTTGAATCAACCATGAACAGAGTTCGGCGCCATAGTAAGGTTAAATGCATTTGTGTTTGCCAAAGTTCTGTTTACATTAGAGACCCCTACAGCAGTGCAGGCCGCCTAGAATATGTGTATCCAGGTCCTCCCCAGCAGCCAAAAGGTCAGTCATCAATTTCTCGCAATTTTTAGGTTCAAGCAAGCGGGGGCCATTGTTTGATGAGCCTCTCCAGTCGCCATCTCGCTGTAACCTCTTCGTTGATTTGCTGCAAAACACAGAAAGGCGACTGAATCGTGCAAACCCTTCACCTTTTGAGGTTCTCCGTCAGCCGAACCGTCGAACCCTGAGAAGAAGTGCATATCAAAAGTTCTCTCATTTTCAGCTGGACCCGTTCTCTCGCCCAGAATACGAAGGGCTTGAAAGTTTAACCAAGTCAGATTGAGTGGAGGAGATCCCCGCGGCCTCTTCCCGAGCTTCCCAGATCGCCTTAGCAGCCCAGCCGGGACCCAACTCCTTTTGGCTAAAGGCGAGAGAAGCGAGAGTAGCCGTGGTCCTTACGCCTTTTAGGCGTTGGTCTGGGCGTATCAATACTGGGCCATTGTGTTTGCTCTTCAGACCTTCGCTTCACTCCACTGACTCCAGGCCTTCACAGCTCTATCCGTACCATTGCATAGAACTCGGCGGGACTCGAGTACGGATTGCAGATACAGTTTCCAGCCGAGACGGTCCGATACGTAATAGCAGACCGAAAATGATGTCTTGCACCTGTGACTTGAGAGTTGAGATTGACGCGCCTTTGCAAGTTTAATGCGAGCCATCCAGCAGAGGGAGCATGTAGCGTCGCACCGCCGCCCGCATCCCGCGAACCTTTGCGTCCGGTCTAGGGTCGGGGCCTGGCCACCGCGTTATCGACTTTTCGGCAGGTGAATCGGATGGAGGCCCAGAAGGACGAGAAGCCATGGATGGATGGGATGACAGGTGCCAGACCTTGTTGGTCTTTCCCCGGTAGAGTGTCAAGCCTTCAACTCTCCCAGAATCCTTTCGCCTATTCAGAGACTCCGTTCAGCCACTTTTGGCTTTGCCCTGTGTGCGTGCGGGGATATCGCATGTGGGCGCAGAAGAGTTGGCGATATTGACTAGCAAAAGGTCCTCTAGCCAGCAGAGTCTCGAATTCTCCTGCCCGAAAGGAACAGACTCGACATGAGTCGTTTGACCTTTCAAGCTCCTTTTCCTAATTACGGACTGGCCTTCGACTCACGCCCTACGCGTTGTTTCCTCACTAAAGAAGAATCGTATGCCGAGGAGTATCGGGACAAATAACTAAGGTAACTTCAGAAGCCGATATTACTGACGTGCCTGGAACAACATCCAACGCAATCGCCTCAGAACCCACCAT